GTTTATTAGGGCTCACAGCAGCTGAACACATCACTGAGTGTGAGTCTGTGTGTGTATGTGTCTGTGTGTGTAGAGTGTGTGCGATGTTTTGCACATTTCTCCCTGACCTCAGGTCAGTGCAATCATGAGATTGGTGAAGTGGACGAGGACGACTGCTGTCAGAACCCTCAGTACGGTTACCTGGAAACAAGTGGAGTGTGTCAGTCTTGTGGGTTAGTGAAAGTACACACACACACACACACACACACAAACGGAGCTTGGCTGTCAAAAGTCAACATCACCAGTGCCTTTAAAGTTTAAAGTTTTAACCATTCATCCAGACTTCTAGCATTTTTTTCGACATTTGCTGGAAAGGTGCATATAATTTTTCTGTCCGCCTCACTTTTCTTTTGGCTGCAGAAGCAGAACCCAGTTTTTTGATGTACTTTCAGAAGCCCTGTGCTGGATTCTTCCCAACAACTACAGACTCTACATACTGTATCTTCGCCGATTTTCCTGTTGCCACCCCACCATCCTCACCCTCTCACTCTGGGCTTCTCCAAAGCTTTCTCAGAACTCAGAGTTCCTCTTCCCGAAGAGAAAAACCTCAGGCACCAACACCTCCATAGAATTTCTGGGCTCAAACCCTTCCAAGCATCTCTGCCCGATGGAAAAAACGCATCACTCTGTTCCTGTCCAACTCTATTCTGGTGGACAGATGCACCAAACATCAACTACTGTCCTTCCTTGGCCATCTCAATTATGCCATGCGCATAATTCCACAAGGGAAATCCTTCCTCTCTAACCTGTTGACCAAAGATGCAGCCGTCCCCTCTCTCCATGATAGAGTCATTGACATTCATATTCAACTGGAAACGTTGACTAGGAATAGCCATAGCCTTAACGTCTTCTTCCTACGAGGTGGGTTTAGGGATCATCAGAAATGCTAACGTCCGCTGGCTCAGCCGATTCTGGTTGACCTCTAGGCTTAAAACTAGGTGTAAATGATCTCCAGTCTAAAGTGAATGTCGTATGTTAGTTAAACTATGTTGTTTTGATCCAGTCCGAGTGTGTGTGTGTGTGTGTCTGTGTGTGTGTGTTTCAGTCCTGCCGTGTGGTCTCCCTGGTCGCCATGGTCACGGTGTAATGTTCTCTGTGGGGAGGGGGTGAGTCAGAGAAGCAGGACATGTTTTGGCATCGGCCAATCAGAGTGCGACAATGCTGAGGACAAACTGCAGACAAAACCATGCAGCGGCACCTGCTGCGACAGTACGCACACACAGACACACACAAACACACATTAACTCACAAACACACACATATACACACACAGACACACTCTGATTACATAAATGATAAATTATGATTGTGTGTGTGTGCAGCAAAGGGGTGGGGCTTGTGGGGCACCTGGTCACCCTGCTCTGTCACCTGTGGAGGAGTCGGAGTCAGAAAGAGAGAGAGAGTCTGCTCCAGTTCTTCTGAGTGTCGCTTGGCCTGTAGTGGTTCATCAGAGGAGACAGACAACTGTCCATCAAAAGAGACTTGTCCAGGTAACCTGTCTGTCTGTCTGTGTATGTCTGTGTCAGTCTGTCTTTTTGACTTCCTGTGTCTCTCTCCACCTGTCTGTCTGTCAGTCCACGGAGGTTGGTCAAATTGGTCCAGTTGGTCTGAATGTTCTAGTTCGTGTATCGATGACCAGCGTGATGATGTCACCATCCCCTCCAAAGTGCGATATCGTTCATGCTCTAACCCCGCCCCCTCCACGGACACAGCACCACATGGCAATGGTTGCCCTGGCAACAACTTGCAGACTGAGTTCTGCAGCGAGATACCAAACTGTCCAGGTGAGAAAGGCTCAGATAAATATCAGGTACAGTCTTTAATGACAACCTGACGTGTGCCCTGATTGGCTATCTCTGCAGTGGATGGGAGCTGGGGGGCGTGGTCTCCACCTGGTCCATGTTCTATCTCCTGTGGGGAGGGGCTTCAGATGTCAACCAGGACCTGTGATAACCCTGCCCCAAAATATGGTGGTCGATTCTGTGATGGACCAAATGTTCAGGCGCTGGTCTGTATGAGTCCCTGTCCAGGTAACTGACTGACACACACACACACACAC